GTTTGGAAACTTGGAAGTGTTGTGAATGTGGCTTTGCAGTGGCCTTCTTAGATTTGGATAAATTATATTGGCCTTGAATGGAATTCTTCAGTTTTTAGACTGTTTTTTGTTTTTTTTTTTTTTAAAAGATTTCATTTATTTATTTGAGAAAGAGAGAGCGAGAGACAGCACAAGCAGGGGGAGGTGCAGAGGGAGAAGCAGACTCCCTGGGAAGCAGGGAGCCCAATACGGGACTCAACCCGACTTGACCTGCTGCTATATCACACCCATTTTTAGATCTTTTTATCCTTATCTCGAATTACACCTCTTAAATCATAACCATCATGGTCTGCAAAGGACTACTAATGAGTAAATTGTCTATGAGTTGAGCCATAGCTCTGACAGTTGTTTTTATTTTATTTATTTTTATTTTTATTAAAGATTTTATTTATTTATTTGAGAGAGAGAGAGAAAGAGAGAGGAGAGAGAGCATGAGAAGGGAGAGTGTCAGAGGGAGGAGCAGACTCCCCGCTGAGCAGGGAGCCTGATTTGGGACTCAATCCCAGGACTCCAGGATCATGACCCGAGCTGAACGCAGTCACTTAACCATCTGAGTCACCCGGGGGCCCCTGACAGTTGTTTTTCTTATTGAAACTATATTACCAAGTATTGAGAGCCTAACAATCCTCTAATCTCAGTGATATTACTTCTGGGAGTCTAACCTGAGGAAATTTAGAGAAAGCTTTATGCCCAAAAATGTTTATCACAGTGCTATGTGTAATAATGATTTTCAGAATGTGTTCCATGGGAGTGGTGGGTTGGGGCACTGTATCTCCAATCTGTTTTCATTTGAGGGAACTGATGAGAGTATGTCCATACCCCTGGTGGTATCAGGAATAATGTGAGTACGTGTCTAGTAGGAAGAGGAAAGACAAGTGAACTATTGTGTAGTCATAAAATATTACACAGTCATTGAATGTGTTTAATAAGAGCTTTCAGTAGCACTAGGGAGTGATGTACAACTGTCTAAACAGTATGAGTTCAAAAATTTAAATGATACAGATGCATGGAAAAAAGGATTTACATTGCTTGTTTCTGGATTGTGAGAATGAGGATTTTTTTTTCCTGCCTCATATTTTTCTGTTCTTTTCTAGTTTCCATATTGACCATAAGATGTGCCTGTGACTAGAAACAAATAATGGGGTTGCATTCAGTTAACATTTCTTCATTGTAAGCCAATTAAGATCTTAATTTAAAAATTAGAATGGATAGGGTGATGGGCATTAAGGAGGGCACTTGATGTTAATACAACTGATGAATCACTAACTTCTACCCCTGAAACTGATACTATACTATGTGTTAACTAAATTGAATTAAAATGAAAAACTAAAAAAGAGAAAAGAAAGAAAAAAAATTAGAACAGATAGAGAAAAAACTCCAAACAGAATAATATTGAATGTGGATATAAAATACATCTTCTGTGAATAAATTCCTGTCTTATCTTGTTCCAAAAAGGATTTAATGAAGTGAAGTGCTATAAGAAAGCATAAATTAGGAAGCATGAAGGAAAATAGAAAAGCAAGGGACATAAAAAAATTAACATAAATCATAGGAAGCAGAGTTCTAAATATTTGCTAACAGGTAGGCCACAAAACCTAGTCACCATGATTGGTTACTTTCTTTCTCTCCTGCCCCACATCCAATTCATTGCAAGTCTCATTAGATCTCTCTCCAGCCAGATTGCTCCTTTTCTGGCCATCTCTATTACTACCACCTTAGTGAATCTAGGATCACTACAATGGCAGTAGCCACTTAGATTGTCTCCCAGCTTCCAGTGTTAACTGGAGTATTATAATAGTGATCCAGGAAACAAAAAGAAGTAACATATAGATACAGGGAAATGATGTAGAGTAGCATTTAAGAGAATGGATTTTGGAGCCACATGGAGCTTTCAATTTCAAGCTGGTTACTTCTCTTGTGTCTTTTTCTCCTCCTCTGTAAAATGGGGCTAATAAAATACTCAACTGGAATTGTGTAGATGATTCAGTGAGTGAATGAATGTATTTGGATCCCTTAGAATGGTGCCTGTTATTTGTCATTATGGTCATCTATTTAAATATATAGCAAAAAGTGAATCAAAAAATTTTAATGTAATTTCTAATGAAAACATCTAAAAGTGAAACTAAAAGAAAACTTTTATACCTTATTAAATTATACATTCATGCTTTCTACCAGCAGTCAGTGTTATAAATAATTAAGGAGCATTAGAGTTATTCCCTTTAAAATCTGGAATAAAGGATGGTAACTGTTGCATTATTCTTCTACACATTTTTGCCAGTTAAACAATTCAAATTGAAATAATCAGAATTGAATATTAGAAAGGAAAAAGTAAGACTTCTTGGTATTTAGTGTAATTAAATAATAAATATATTTAATATTTTCATATTAAATATAATTATATTTAATATTATATTTATTATATTCATTATTTTATTTTTATTTATTATATTTATTATATTTAATATTTAATAATAAATTAAATAGTATTTATTTTTATTTTTTCGTATGTAGTTTAAAGGGTTAATGAAAAAAGATACCTGTCTCACAGCAGGAACAACAATAACAAATTAGGACTAAGTTCAGTGAAAGATGTATCTGAATATATAAATAACAGTATAAAGCTTTTCAATACAAAAAAGAATTTGAGTAAATAAGAACCATTAAAAATCAGTAAACATTTCTCATTTTTCCCCCCACAGAAGTTAAATTATTTGCCCAATTTGCTTATTTAGTCACTTACCTGGCCATTAAGTGGTAGAGTTGCTATTTAAACCCAGGCCCTCTATGCTTTTAACATTACTCTGCTACCTGCCGTACTTGGAAGCCATGGAGCTGGGCTGTGAGCCTGTTTTAAGGGGCTGGCCTGTGTATTAGTACCTTACAGTAGTCCCCCCTTATCTGTGGGGGATGCATTCTAAAACCCCCAGTGGGTTCCTGAAGACAGATGGTACTAAACTCTGTGTATACTATGTTTTTTCCTATCCATATATGCCTATGATAAAGTTTCGTTTATAAATTAGGCACAGTAATAGATGAACAACTAATGATAAAATAGAACAATTATAACATACTGTAATAAGAGTCAGGTGAATATGATCTCTATCGAAATACGTACATTTTGATGATGTGAGATGATAAAATGCCTGTGTGACAAAGTGAGGTGAATGACCTAGCATTGGTGCTACAGTGTGTTGGGCTGCAGTTGACCTTCTGACCATGGTTGATGGTGGGTAATGAAACTGGAAAATGAAACTATGGTTAAGGGAGGACTACTGTATTATGTAATTTGGCTGATGCTGACAAAATGGAAAAAAAAAACAACAATGGCTTAAACAAGATGGAAGTCTTTTCTTTCTATCTCACATAAGTTCAATCAACAGTTAAATGGACCAGAACTAGCTTGTAGGTCCAGTGTGCCACACATGGCACACGCATGGGAGAGCTTGCTTCCGTCCTTTTGTTCTGCCATCCTCAATAATGTGGGCTTTAAGATGTATGCTCAAACCGTAGCCATAGTTTTTGCATTTTTGTCAGTAGGCGTGCAGAAGGGACAAAGAAGGCTACTGATTTTGAATTTAATCTTTTACATGAGAAATATCATATTTTCTTTAGGAAGCTAGGATTGTAGCGGAAATTTAGTGCTTCTGTTAGAAAGGATGAATGATATGGAGAGGTGGGAGCCAATTAGCAACTCTGGAGTGAGCGTAAATTTATATTCAGTGTTTGATGCTTTTGGTTCTAGTAATGGCAAATTAGTTACTTTTTAGAAAAAACTGTAGCCATTGTGAATAATCCTTTACTATTGTATGATATAGACTCTACTTGATTTTATTTTGTTCATTGTAAATGTATTATATAGCTACCTTTCTCTAAAGGAACAAATGATGTAAAATTTATGGGTACTGATGCAGTCTTGAAACTTTTGGGATTTGGTTACTATATTAGCATGCATGAATTTCACTTAATTTTTTTTTTTTTGTATCTGTTATATCCTGCAGTTTAGTTATTATACTGTTTTTCTTTTTTTTAGAGCAATTTAAAAAAAATTATTTATTTATTTAACAGAGAGAGAGAGAGAGAGAGAGAGAGAGAGAGAAAGCACAAGCAGGGGGAAGAAAGCACAAGCAGGGGGAGCAGGAAAGGGAGAACCAAACTTCTCTTCCATTACAGAGAGTCTAATGTGGGGCTTGATCCCAGGAGCCTGGGATCATGACCTGAGCCAAAGGCAGATGCTTAATCAACTGAGCCACCCAGGCACCCCTGGACTGTTTTTTCTTAAGAAATGAGTTGCATTCTTTTTGACTCATTTTGTTAAAGAAGGAATCCCTAATACTAGCCCCAAGGCTAGTCCAAAGATATTGTCAAGTTCAACTATTTATTTGTCAGGTTCTTTTATATAGAGAATCATTTAAATACTCATAAGGGAAACGGAAGTATGGAAATGGATTTTTTGAAAAAACTTTACAGAAGGATTCCTTTTTTTATTTTTAAAAATATTAAAAAAATATATAAATAATTTTTGTCTCAAAAAGTGACATTTATTCAAAGAAGGAAAAAAAAAAGACAAGATATCCATCCCTTGGCTCCACTTCCTTCCCCCTCCTGCTCTTCTTCCACCCCTCCATGGTCTGAACTCTGAGTAGGACTAGGTAGGAGGACAGCCACTCAGATGAAGTCAGCAGCACTGAGGGGCGTCTCCTCACTGGAGGTGTTGTAGAAGGTCTTGATGTCTCCAAGAGTCTTCTTGTCTTCTGTCACCATGTTAGTAGTCACACCCTTATGGTCACATTGGCCATCACAACTGATTCTGTGGATATAGTTTTCCTTGTTGGTGGGAAGGTCATAGTTGGTGACTAAAGAAAGCTGCCGCACATCAATGCCCTGGTGTAGGTCAAGAGAGAGGACACCTTCAGTGTGTGCATGAGAAAAAGACATGGTTTATCCAGAAGAGATTGAATTATCTGTGTAGGCAACCAAAGGAACACAAAGCAAACATCCCTTCTCCAACAACCTAAGGCATACCATAATTTTTTTTTTTTTTTTTTTTTTTTTTTGGGCATACCAGCTTTTATTCCAACTTGTTACTTCCTGAAGTGGGGAGTGAGCTGGCCCTTTGGAGAGGGAATCATGTTGGATTTTATAGAAGACTTCCTTAATGGAGAAAGCATATTTTATTTTTTAATTCATTATTTTAAATAAAATTTTTTTTTTAATCTTAGGATCTTAGGCATGAGTTACTTATTTTCAAATCTCTCTCTCTCTCTCTTTTTTTTTTTTACTGTTGTAAAACACATGTAACATAACATTTACCATCTTAACTACTTTTAGGTGTATAGTATATTAGTGGGAACTATGTCCACATTGTTGTGCAACAGTTCATTAGAACTTTTTCATTTGGCAAAACTGAAACTCTACAACCAATAAACTGAAACTTCACTTTTTCCCTACCCTGTGCCCCTAGCAAGTACCATTCTTGAGAAAGTTTATTTTAAATGCTTCAGTGTAGGGGCCTGTATGGCTCAGTCGGTTATGCTTCTGACTTCAGCTCAGGTCATGATCCCAGAGTCCAGGGATAGAGCCCTGCAATGGGCACCCTGCTGCGGGGGGTGGGGGGTGGAGAGTCTGCTTCACCCTCTCTCCCTCACACAAACAGTCTTGTCTCTCAAATAAATAAAATCTTAAAAGAAAGAAAGAAAGAAATCCTTCAAATTGGGGAACTATACCGCTTTAGTGAAGCAAGTTATACCTGTAAACAAAATTAGCAATTTTTCCTCAATTGTGTGTGTGTGTTTAATATTTTATTTATTTATCCGAGAGAGAGCGAGAGAGCACAAGCATGAGTGGTGGGGAGGAGCATAGGGGGAGGGAGAAGTGGACTCCGCTGAGCAGGGAGCCTGCTGTGGAATTTGTCCTGGCATCACGACCTGAGTTGAAGGTAGATGCTTAACCGACTGAGCTACCCAGGTACCCCTCCTCACTTGAGTTTATTATCATTTAAAAAAAAAAAAGATTTTATTTATTTATTTGACAGAGAGAGAGAGATCCACAAGTAGGCAGAGTAGTAGGCAGAGAGAGGGGGAAGCAGGATCCTGCTGAGCAGAGAGCCCGATGAGGGGCTTGATCCCAGGACCCTGAGATCATGTCCTAAGCCAAAGGCAGAGGCTTAACCCACTGAGCCAGTTAGGCGCCCCTATGATTATCATTTTTTAAGAGGAGTTTTACCTCTTACCCAGTCTCTTTTATTATTTTCCGCAACTGGCACATATCAGTTCCCATTTAGCATTAGTCGTATCGGTAATTCAGGATATATATTTTAAGGACATATCTAATTTTTCATGAGTATAGGCTAATATATGGAAGTTCTGATTTTTAAATTTATCAGACCTCACCAATTCCTGTTTGCCCATTAGTTCTCCCTAACAGAATTTTGTGTTGGTACAGGCCGAAACTTTAATGCTTCCTTTCCATTCCTCTAGTTCCTGGTTGTTAAAATTCTGTCCAGCCTTTAGGGACCATTTCAAATGTGATTTCCTCCATGCAGCCCCTCCAGATGCCAACTGCATATTTTACTCCCCAGGCTTGGCTTCTGCCTTCCATAGCAAACACAAACTGTTTTCTTTGTTAATTCATTACTTGTGTGCTTGTCTTAACTCCTCTGCCTCCACTTTGCAATCATTTGTAATGATCTCAAGTATAGGGACTTGTATATAAATGGTTCAGTAATTTCTAAAAACTCTTAAAAAACCTCTGGTGTAGTGTTTTTATATAGTACATACAGAGTAAATATTTGTCAAGTGGATTGAGTGTATTTGGCTTTTATAATTGAGCAGTTCATTTTATGACATTTGAGAGTGTTCTGTCTTTTTGACTTAGCAATCCTTAGTTTTTACTAAGTGGAAAATGGAAGTAGGGATTGAGGAATGATCAGAGGAAATATGAATATAAAAATGTGTGAAGATACCTATTTCTGGTAGAACCATTATATTGCCTTTTCCTAAGTTTACAATCTATTTTTTATTATTTTTTATCTAAGTTTACAATTTAGTTACATAATAGTTTAATAATTATAGGAGCTGCTCTATGATATTAGTTAATTTAATTGTATAGACTGTAACTAGAACCTACCTGTCAAATGAGGCAAAAAAAGTTATAGTTTTCTCTTCTTAAGACAGAAATTGTGACTAAAAGGAATTGTGATTGTTTTCATTGAGGTGTAATTTATGTATCATAATGTGTACGGATCTTCAGGGTTCAGTTTGGTGAGTGTTAATAATTGTATATTTTGTGTTCAGGCACCATCCAAAACAAAATATGGGACATTTCTGTCACCCAAATAGTTCTTTGTGCCCCCTTCTAGTCACAAAACTTTTTAAGAATGAGTTTGACAGCTGTATAATTGGAAGGAGAGTTATGAGAGAACATAAATTAGGAGACAGAGTAAAATCTATATCACCTGGTTATGATTAATTTTGTTGTTTTTTATATGTAGTTTACTTCAGTTGCTGGTTAGTAGTTGGTCTAGTGTTACTACTGTTGAGGTCACTGGAATGGAGATGTTAATGTTGTATATCATAATTCTTTTGATGACAAACTTGCTTTTTTATTCCTCCTTTATTCCATTTTACTTACCTAGAGTGGTAATGGAATTGTTCTTTCAACTAGAATGCAAATGAAAACAGCATTCAAACCACTACCTAACTTTGTCAAACTATACCAATTGTTAACTAATTAGAAGTATTTAGTATTTGAAGATTTATTATTTTTCTCTGAGCTTAATGAACAAAATTTCAGATTGGTAGAGTCAGAGAAAAGAGGGGTAAAAAATAACTTCTAAATCGTATCTATTATGCCTGATTCTGGTTTTTTTAAATGTAAAAAAAGGTTGTAACTTACAGTTAAGTGGAGACTTTGGGATTATTGAGGATTTTTATTAGCCTTGCTGTCCTCTTGCCTGTTACTGCAAAAAATCAAAAGTTGCATTTTTATGACTGTAGCTAAAGGCTAGATGTAGCGGTGCCTTTTTAGTTGTGAGCACCTGTTTTCCATGAACTTTCTCTGACTCCCAGGCTGGCACGTTCTGTAGTGAAGAGTCCACGTTTGGGCCACCACTGTGCTTCTCTGACTTCTGGTCTGAGGCTTCTCATCCCCTTGGCCTTGGTCATTGCCAGCCACCTGTATCAGTCAGTCTCTTTCCTTCATGCATAGGGAAAGGTTGAAGAATTAACAGTGGGTAAAAGTTCTCTTTTATTTCTCAGAAGTTGCTATGAGAATGAGATGATTTAAGTAAACACTTAGGATGGGGATTGACACATTCTAAGCACTCAGAATTGCTGGGATTTATCATTGTTTTCATCGTCATTACCATATTTGATTAATGATCAATTTTAATTTAATTGCAGCTGGCTGGGAAGAAAAGTCTTAAAACAATGTGAGGGACCTTAATGATCTTAACTTCAGAGGAAATTAATGTTTTTTAAAACAGAACAATTTAATTACATCTGCAAGATTCCGTCAGCAGAGGATGCTAGAAGCTCTATTCCAAAATCCAGTCAGTGTGTTCCTGACCATTTCCAAGCTGCAAATCTTTGAAGGCCTTCATTCTTTAGAAGGACACTAGGGGGCAATAGAGATATTTTGGCTTTTGGCAAAAATCCATTTTATTCAACTGTCTCCTGTCTACTGTGGAAGGGAAAAAAAGAGGAATCTTATAAACAATGTCTTCTATAAATTGGAACAAGTGAGGTTTAGGTTGAGATTAATGCTGGAATAATTATTTTTTAAAAAAGAATAATGCAGAAAAATTATGAATATTCTTTTGTGATTTGATGGTATTATATTTACAGGATTTTTTTTTGTATCTTTAAGTTTTTTAAGTCAGTAACTATGATAAAGCTTTATGGCATATATAAATTATATATGTTTATATATATATGTTTATATATAAATATATAAACATTAAGGATAGCTTCTTCATAATTTAAGATTTGTTCATAAGTTCAAATAAAAAAGTTTATATTTCTCTGATCACGAGAATAATCAAAACTTTTAAAAACACAGATCTTGTCACTTCCCTGCTTCCCTTGTCACTTTCCTGTCAGTAAACCCTCCAATTTCTTCCTGTCACAATGTTACGAAATCCCAAGTTCCCTGCTGTGACCTCTAAGGCCTGCATGACTTGGCCTCTTCACCTCTTTCTGACTTCCTCGCCTTCCACTCCCTGTCTTGCTCACTCCTCTCTACCCACAGTGACCTTCCTGCTTTTGTTCTTAGCAACCATGCTTCTTCCTTCACAGAGCTTTTCTGTTTACTCTTTCCTATACAGGAAATAGGTGTCAGAGCTTTACATGACTCCCTCTTTTCATCTGGGTCTTCGTGGAAGTGTCACCTCTTTGACCACCTTCTATAAGTACCTCCACTTGCTCTACTGCACTGTTTTTTTCTGACATTGCTTTATGGTAGTTACCATTACTTGACATCTTTTGTTTATTGGCTTTTTGTCTTTCTCCTCAAAGTAATACAAGTTCTATGAGGGCAGTTATAGTGTCTCTTTTATTGCTCTATCCCCAGTGGCTTGACTGGTTCCTGGCACATAGTAGGTGCTCAAGGAATATTTGTTCAATGAATGGCCATCTTTGGCTGTGGTCAGAGGTACTCTCTAGCCCCTAAACATTTCATTGAAGCAAAGCTAGCTTCTGATATAGTCATAATTATCCTTTAGAAGCTCAGGAATCAATACCTACCCTCCCATTTTCAGGCTAGTCCTGCCACAATTCCTTTGTTAAAAGGCTGCAGTTCCCTTTTAAGCTCCCATTGCCAGGTAGGCTTTTGTATCCTCTCAGGTGGCTGCCAGGAACAATCACTAGTGTGTGTCCTTTCTGCCTTTGAGCAGTGGCTCCCCCCCCCCAACAAATATTTTGTGTGATTATAATGTGAATGACACTTTTAGCATGAACTGTTTTCTTTATTTGTAGTAGTTAGTATGTAGTGATGAAGATGGACTATTTTTTTTTAAAGATTTATTAGAGAGTGTGTGCAGCATGTATGTGCAAGGTTGTGGGGAGGGAGAGAGGGAATCTCAAGCAGACTCCCTGCAAAGCCCGACTCGGGCCTCCATCTCACCACCCTGAGATCATGAC